AAGGGTGGGAGAGCTGTTGGTAAGTAAACCAGCTGAAGGGGTTAGCGGAAGTTACAGCTAGCTCAGCAAGAGCAATTCTTATTTTTGTCCAAGAACTTGAGTTAAAGCTAACCTTAGGCTTCGTTTTGTGAATTCTGGTTGAATGGATGAAAGCATTTCACTAATATTTTCCTCAGTAGGAAAATCATTCTCTCTCTCTCTCTCTCTCTCTCTCTCTCTCTCTCTCTCTCTCATCTAGATCTAGAGAGGTTCTTTTCTGCTTAAAGAGCCAGGCTTCTTAGCTTCTATCTTCACTTCCCATTCCCCCCTCCCCACCTTTTATTCCTAGACCAGGCTGGCCTCGAACTCACAGAGGTCTGCCTGCCTTTGCCTGCTGAGTGCTGGGATTAAAGGCATCTGCCTCTTTTTTTTTTTCACACTGGATGATTCTTCATAAAATAGAAGAAAACAATATCAAATTTAATGTGATTTTGAGAAAAGTAAAGCAAGAGGGGGTTGTTTGATGCTTGAAATACCCGCTATTTTCATGGCTGAGGAGAGACTACAAGCTGAAAGTTGAGGCCCATGGCTCCAGAGGAATCAGCAAGGAAGGACACACAGTTGTGCAGTATGACTTAACCCCCACCCCCAATCCTCTTTCCTTCTGCACAGTGATAAGCGATTATCTCTCTCTGAAACACTTGCAATGTGATGGGAGCGGAGGCCCGTGCTTCCCTAACTGGGGCCAGCAGCTGGGAAGGGTGCTTTGCTTGACAGTTGATTAGGGTTTAAATGAACTGAAAAAAAAATTGGTCATATTTGCTTCTTTTGCCCTTATTGTAACAGCAAGTATCTGCATTTTTCTTCTTTCAGCCTGAAAGAGTAGATTTCAATAATTATCCATGGAAGAAAAACAGATTTTTGAATTGCAAAAGGACAACCAGGACTTGAAGCCACCAGTTCTCGACGGCTAAGGATCCTTATCTGGAGATTGGCTAGCATGGTCAATAAAGCTTGAAAGCTGCCGTTAAAGAAATAATGCTGCCAAAATGAAATAATGCAATTCTTGTGTGTGTGGGAACCCAAAAGCACACACATCAAATGCATGGTTATCTAGCTTTTCCCCCCTGAGACAGGGTTTCTCTGTGTAGCTTTGGAGCCCGTCCTGGAACTAGCTCTTGTAGACCAGGCTGGTCTCAAACTCACAGAGATCCACCTGCCTCTGCCTCCCGAGTGCTGGGATTAAAGGCATACACCACCACTGCTGAGCTGGTTATCCAGCTTGTTCTTAATTAGTTGTCAAAACATTATGAATCCTTTCTGAGTAAAATTGTTTGACTTCTTGTCCAGTGTTTATCAAATGGCCACTGTGCAAGCAGCTGTCAGACTGTACTTTAAATGTTGGGGATATGGCAATTAATAAGTAGATGAAAACCTCAGTCCATGTGGATACAACTCCCCAACCCCCACACACCCTGGCAAAACCAGCAACATTCAAACAGAACAACAGTATGTCATAGTCATGTCTTATGGAGAAAGGCAGAATGTGGGTAGAGGATGATGGAATTGTGTGCTGATTATTTGATAATTAATCAAAAACTAGGTGGAGTAAAGAAATGATATGTATGGCTCTCTAGAGAAATGGTATTGAGTAGAAGAAACTTCATGACCAAATTCCCAAAGAAGGAACACATTTGGCACATCCAAGGATCCCAAGCAAGTGACTTGAAAGGCATGTGTTATCCAATGTGTAGTTTAAGTATTTTATTAGCCATCTAAAAGTGTTTAAAAGTGAGATTAACAATGTAATTTATTTTACTCAATGAGGTCATGATCTTAACAATGTCCAAGCTCATTGGGATGTGGGGTTTTCACATGTGATTAAAAGTACCTGACTAGACATGGGTGGCAGGAGCAACACACAAATAATCCCAGCATTCCAGAGGCAGAGCTCTGAGTCTGAGGCCAGCACGGTCAACGGAGCAAATTCCAGGACAGCCAGGGCTACATGCAGAAACCCTGTCTCAAAAAACCAAAACAGCTAAATAAATATCCTGAATAATTACTATGCTCCATGAGGCAGAGGCAGGGGTTATCTATAAATTTAAGCCCAATCTGGGCTACATAGTAAATGTCTATCTCAAAAAGCAAACACCAAAACAACAGCAACAAGGAGAAAGTTTTCTTAGCTGGTGTGAAAGACATATAGAGAAGAAAAACAAAAGAGATCTGGCTTTGAAGATAGATCAGGAGGACCATTAAGGACACAGCAAACCAGTTTAGTACAGGGAAGACCTGTAGGGGTTGGATTTGTTTGCCAACTATTTGAACCACAGTAGCCAGATAGTGAATTATTGCTATGGATGAGCCTGTTAATTTAAAGCTTAAATATTAGGTTGACATTATTATGGTTTTTGTGGTTCTGGAGGAGGACCTGGTGCATGCTGGGTAAGCACAGTACCACTGTGCTTACCTCCAGCTTGTGATCATTTTAAATTCACAACTCATAATTGCATACATTCACTGATACAGTACGGTGGTCTGGTATGTGTAAACAATGGGGAATGATTAAATTTAGCTAATTATTATATCCATCATCTTGTTTACTTGCCATTTTTAGAGGTATTTTTAGAAGACCGCTGGAATTCATAATGCCTGCCACTGCAAATGCCAATAAGCAGTGACGGGAACTGAATCTTCGTTTGCTACATTCTGAGACTCAGCAGTCTAAGTAGGCAGTTGGTTATCACCCTAAAAAGTGTCTCCCATATAAAAGATTATATGGGAGAGGGGTGTGTGTGTGTGTGTGCATGTACATGCATGCTCACTCATGTTTGTGTGTGCATGTGCATGTTTCTGCGTGTGTTATGTAGAACAGATAATCAGTCACTCTAGAATTCAGTCTTGCCCCTCTGGTCAGCTATGTTTATGAGACTTGATGTCTGTGCCATTCTCATTATTCTCTCTCTCTCTCTCTCTCTCTCTCTCTCTCTCTCTCTCTCTCTCTCTCTCTCTCTCTCTCTCTCTCTCTCTCCAGGGTTTCTCTGTGTAGTCCTGGCTGTCTTGGAACTCACTCTGTAGACCAGGCTCAAGCTCACAGAGATCCACCTGACTCTGCCTCCCAAGTGCTGGGACTAAAGGCATGAAGCAACACTGCCTGGCCCCATCACTATCTCCTATACTCTTCCCTTAGTCTGTATATTTCTGGGCTACATACTTCTTGAAATGCTGAAACACTTAAGTTTCATTATCATCTGCCTTTATTGCACTATACCTGCAGGCTTTCTGGCCTGGTGAGAGGTTAATTCAGAACAAATATGAGCAGTTTATAGGTGCTAAGCTATTGATAACAGACTCCATTCCATAGTACGGAGTACACATTTTCTTTTAGTTACTTTGAGAAATATTAGACAATAATGTTGACTGTAGCTCTTGTGGTGAACAGCTGTTCTAGCTGAGTTTCTTTTGCTATGATAAAGACTGTGACCAAAAGGAACTTTGGTGGGGAAAGCATTTGTTTTGCTTTACCTCCCCCATCACCAAGCAAAGTCAGGAGGGACTGAAGCAGAAACCATGGAGAACCACTGCTTACTGGCTTGCTTCCCCTGCATATCGGCTACTTTTCTTCTATAGCCCGGGCTCACCTGACCAGGGATGACACTACCCATAGTGGGAGAGTCCTTCAAAATCAATGAGCAATTCAGAAAATGCCCTATAGATATGCCCACAGGTCAATCTAATGGAAGCAGTTGTAATGTGAGGTTTTCTCTGGCCTGGCTAGAGTCCCATCGCCCTTCTCTGCTCCAAAGAAACACGTAGATGTTATATTAGTTATAAGCTGTTGGCTGGCAAGACTTGGGCTTCTTATTCTTATCCCATAAGATTCTTATCCCACTAATCTTTTCTTACTGGAAAAAAGATCCAGGCCCCATTGGGGTCTACAGCATGTCTGTTCAGCGTCTCTGCAGAGAGAGAGAGAGAGAGAGAGAGAGAGAGAGAGAGAGAGAGAGAGAGAGAGAGAGAGAGAGATTGAGAGAGATTTCCTGCTTGTCCTTGCTTATAAACCGTTACTACCCAGCTACGTCACTTTAAGCCTGGATCACATGGCAACGTCTCTTCTACATTTCCCAGAATTCTCCTTGTCTCCTAGTCCCACCTATCTTGTTTCCCTGTTGGTCAATAGTGTTTATTCATCAACCAGTAAGAGAAACCTATGTACAGAAGCCGTCCCCCATCAAGCAGTTTCTCAACTGAGGTTGTCTTTCCAGTTATGCCAAGTTGACAAGGAAGCTAACTATTGGCTATTAGCAACTGAAGGTAAGAGTAGACTTCAATATTAACTCATATTTATCTAAAACTTCGGGTGTGAGGTGTTTCAGGATGAGATTAATGCTTAGGTCAGGGGATTCCAAGGAAGTATGTCACCTTCCATGACATGGGTGGGCTTCAACAGGAAGCCAGGGCCTAACTGGAATAGAGGCTGACCTCCTCAGAGCAAAAAAAGAATTCTGTCAGCTGTACCAGGCTTTTTCTTTTGGGCCACCAACCAACTCCCAAATCACGACACAGAGACTTATAAGTTTTGAATGTTTGGCCAAGCTTAAGCTCTTTTCTGGCTAGGTCTTTTTAACTTAAATTAACCTGTTTATCTACCTTGGGGCATACGACCTCTATGTCTGTCTGTCTGGCATCTGCCTGGCTTCTTGCCCCAGGTATGTCCTTCCTTGTTTCCTATCTTCTTCTCTTGTTCTTTATTTTTTTCGAGGCTGGATTCCTCTTCCTATTTATTCTCTTTGCATGCCAGCCCTGACTAGCTCTCTCCTGCTCTCCTGCCTAGCTATTGGCCGTTCAGCTTTTTATTAGACCAATTAGGTGCCTTAGGCAGACAAAGGGAAACAAATACATCACATCTTTACATAATTAAACAAATGTAGCATAAACAAAAGTAGCACACCTTTACAGAGTTAAAGTAACATTCCACAACAGAAACAAATGTAACACAGCTTTGCCTAGTTAAAATAATATTCTACAACAGGCATTAGATAGCCTTGGACTTGACTTACCAGCAGCTCTTTCCTCAGTCTCCGGCCTACCCGTCTGCCTCTTCATGTCGTGAACACTCCAAGCCTTTATTATTATACCACAGTGCTCACACACATACCCCACCGTCATCATCATACCACACCACACCAGTTGGCCGTGCTCCTGTGAAGAACCCTGCTTAGTACAAGGTATGTCTGAAAAAACACCCCTGGATCCTAGTAGAGTAGGGATGTCTGGGCAGGACAGATACAGACAGGAAATCGTAAATGGGGGAGGAGGGAGGTGGTGTTTCATCCAGAGGGTGAGAAAAGGGACACAAAGGGTGTTGCCTGCCTCTGAGGACTTGGGGGGAAAGTATCCTGTGCTTCAAAGGCAGCTGAAATCGGCCATGCCCAGGAGGGTGCTTCAACAGAGGATAGAGTTTTTTGAATTCTGTTCCAGGCTCTGTAGTATTTTGCCAGAACAGATATCATGACACAAGGGACTTGAACAAAGGAATGTATTCTCCTTAGAGTTTTGGAGCCAGAAGCCCAGGATCAGGGGTTTCTCCTGAAGCTTCTGTTCCTGCAGATGGTCTCCTTGGCCGCCTGGTGTTAGGGTCCTCCTCTGGGCATATGGTACCTTTGGTGTCTTTTTACATGTCCAGATTATCTCTTCTTATGAAGACAATAGTCAGAATGATCAGGGGCCACCCTTGGGGCCTAACCTGAACCTCTATGAAGGTTATAGTTTCACATATAGTCACTCTGTAAGGTACTGAGATGTCCCTATATGAATTGGTGTGTGTGTGTGTGTGTGTGTGTTTGTGTGATATGTGTAACTTAATGTATAACCAGCTCCAAATGCTGACACAAGCATTTCCCAGACTCCCCAGGGAAGAGCTATCTCTTAGTACAGAGTGGATGAGTAAGAGACGCACACAGCTGTCTAAAGAGAACTCAACAGATGGGAGCCTTTCCAGGGCACAAATGCAGGCCTGGGTGAGTCCTTCTGACCAAGTGTTAATGCAGAAGGGAAGAGAGGTCTCAGTGGCCTCCTCCTTGCCCTAATTCCCTGCCGGGTCACAGTTTATCATCAGTCATCTTCAGAAGGAGAGGTAGAATTAAGGGTCATGAGTCACTCCACCCATAGGTTTCTGCCTAATTTGAAGTTCCCGAGCTTTCCTGATTGGGAAAGGCTCAGAAGCAAATATTTTGAGGGATATGTAAGAGAACGAAGCAACTGTGATACTGACAGAAACCTGGACCTATATTCCAGTTTCTTTTATAAACCATATATACTTTCTGTTGTGCACTTGATGGTGACGTGTGTTCCTTGTCTCCAGAGTAAAATATTCTGTAATTTGGTCAAGAGAAGTGGGGTATTTTCCTGGCATGATTGCTCTAGAGGGTATTGCTGCTTGCCTAAGGTCCAGGGGATTTGTGGGTAGGATGGATAGAGAGAGAAAGAGAGAGAGAGAGGGAGAGAGGGAGAGAGGGAGAGAGGGAGAGAGGGAGAGAGGGAGAGAGGGAGAGAGGGAGAGAGGGACAGAGGGACAGAGGGACAGAGGGACAGAGGGACAGAGGGACAGAGGGAGAGAGGGAGAGAGGGAGAGAGGGAGAGAGACAGAGACACAGAGACGGAGACAGACGGAGACAGACGGAGACAGAGACGGAGACAGACGGAGACAGACAGACGGAGACAGACGGAGACAGACGGAGAGGCAGAGAGACAGGCAGAGGCAGAGATGGAGAGACAGAGACGGAGAGACAGAGACGGAGAGACAGAGAGACAGAGACGGAGAGACAGAGACGGAGAGACAGAGACGGAGAGAGAAGGAAAGAAGGGGAGGGAGGGAAAGGGAAAGAGGGTTGGGGACAGAGAAGAGGGGAGGGAGAGAGAGGGAGAAGGGAGGTAGGTAGGGGGGAGAATAAACTAACACCTAGGTGTCAGGTCAGAAAGAAACTCTGTGTGGTGTCTATTAGCATACCAAAATGCATGCTGGCCTCTAGTCTCTATCAGCAGAAAATGGCTTCCTGGCTCTCAGCAGAAAATGGCTCTAGTTTTTCTCACCCAGCCCTCTACCCTAAACTTCTCCAGCACATGGGCTTCCCTTCCCCAGTTTTCATTCCCATATAACCCTGCCATTTAGGCCATGCATTATCTTGATCCTCTCTTTGTTCACTGGCTGTCTTTCATCTTCCTTTTTTGGTCCTCCTCTCTCACTCTCCATCTCTCTCACTCTCCATCTCTCTCTCCTCTCATAACCAAGTCTGTTGGCCATGTTAATCTACTCTATTCTCTCTCTGCTCTGGATTCTTTCAGATGCCCCTGACTGTCCTCTTCCACACATCTGCAATGAAAACCTTTCCCTCAACATACCTTGGAGCAGCTGTGAGCTTACATTATATTCAAGAAACAGCCTTCAGCTTTGTTAAAGAATTTGAATGTTCGACTTGGCCTCCTGGCTCATGCCTGTAATCCCAGCACTTTTGGCTTTGGAGGCACGAGTCCTTGGTCATCATTGGCTGCATAGCTAGCTAGTAAGTAGTTCCTTGTCTCAAACACAGAGAGAATTTAAATGCTGATCTGTAATGATTAAGAGCCAAGCATATATATATATATATATTATGACTTCTAGTGTTCTTTACATTTGTTTGTTGGAGACAGTTTTACTATGTTGGTTTTGACTGTCCAGGAACTTGCTATATAGGCAAGGCTTGCTTTGAATCTATATCAGTCTTTCTTTGTCTCTCTAGAACATAGATTACATGTGTGTACCATCACACCCAGCAGTTTCAACACTCTGTTGTTTTGTTTTTGAGAAAAGATTTCTCTCTGAGTAGCCTTGGCCGATCTCTGTAGACCAGTCTGGCCTTGAACTCAGAGATCTACCTGCCTCTGCCTCCCTAGTGCTTGGATTAAAAAGGTGTGCCACAGCCGCCTGGCTTCAACAACTAATTAAGAACATGAAGTTTGGAATGAAAACAAAATTGTTAGGTGCTGCATAGAGTGATGTGTTCCCTTCTCCATTCTGTCTTCTTGTTAAGATCATTTAATGATAAAATTCAATAGTAATGTTTTTACTTATGGACTTAGAAATGGAAACTGATGCTTTTGTCTCATGCTTTCCCCAAAGCTTCTATTGAGAACACACGGCAGGCGATTGACTTTCCTGGCCATAAATACAAGGTGAAGAGATGCCTTTAGTAACTGCGTGGTGGAACAAACTTTTAGGTTTTCCTCTCTAATCAGTGCTCTTCCTCAAAAGGAAGAATGAACAGACTTCTGCTGTGCCTGAGTACATGTTGAATTATACCAGAGGGGAGAACCCCGGGGCCTCTGGGTCTAGAGATATGACCTCAATTTTGGCAAAGCAAATCTTGCATACTGTAGCTATGGTGTTTGTATTCATAGGGTGTGTCCCAGACATGCAAGTGAGGTATGGGAACTTTGATGATGATGTGTGAGACGGGGGGAGGGGGAGAGGGAGTGGGGACTCTGATTATAATCCAGCTGTTCATGATGGATCTACGCTAACCTTCCTAGTTAAGGGAACCAGGAGTCATGCTCCTCATCCCTGCCTCTCCCTGTCTCTCTCCCTCTCCCGTTTCCTCCCACTCTCTCCCCCCCTCCCTCTCTTATTTCCTTAAGCCATCTTTAATTGGATCCCCCCATTTACCATTCAAATTATCTTACCAAAAGCTTCCACACTGGGCTGCGTTCTCTGCAGTCACAGGAAGTAGGGAGGTGACAGAGATGAGCGAACAGTGGAAAAGGAAGGGAGTCTTGATTTATTCCCTGGAAAATGGCTTTTAACCTCGCAGGAGGCCTGGCTGATGCCAGTACATTTTGCACTGGAGAAGGAAGGCTTGGTTGGCAAAATGCTGCGGTCAAGGAAGAAGGGCGAATGTGGGCGCTATGGAAATGGGCCCGCCCTGGTGGGGGGGAGGCACCAGGAGATGGAGAGGGCTGAAGCAGGGGTTTTAAATGCAGGTAATGCGCAGCCATACCCAGGTACCCGAGTCACCAGCAGGTTCCTATTGGTTCCTTCTTAGAGCTTGTTCTGAGTAATTATTACCTGTGGAAATTTCCTTCATACATAGAGTACCACGGTATTTCTTGTTGTTATTTTCCTGACTTTTTTTTTAATACTTGGTTGCCGTCTAACTATTTTTTTTCGAGACAGTGTTTCTCTGTATTGTTTTGGAGGCTGTCCTGGAACTCACTCGTGTAGACCAGGCTGGCCTCGAACTCACAGAGATCCGCCTGCCTCTGCCTCCTGAGAGCTGAAATTAAAGGCGTGTGCCACCAATGTCCGGCAACCGTCTGACTATTTTAATAGTGAGAATTTGTGTGGAGCTTGTCAGTTGCTAAATATCAAAGCATCCTGGGCATGGGTACCAAAGACGTGCTTCAGGGAGAACAGGCCTGTGATCGTGGTTGGAATCTAGAGGGAGAAGCTCCCGGCATGCCAGCGTGAGGGTGCGGGTACTGTGCATTCACCTTCTCAGATGGAGTGTCGTATGGGTAGCTCCGAAAAGATCACTGGGGCATCTTAAGAAGGGATAAACAAACATCCATGCTAAGTGTTGGTCACGGGCTTCTCCTCTTCATCCCCACTCCCATCCAGTACTCCACAGTGCACTTGGGATGTGGTCTTAACCTTTGAGGATCGTTTTTTGTCAATTGGGAATCAGGTTCTACCAAGGGTCTGCAGTGGTTGAGGTAGAGGTAGGAGGGGAGGAGAATGGATTCTTTCCTGGCTCCTAGAGCAGTCACTGATGAGGGCCACCTGGTCCTCCCAGAGCCCCCTGCGAACTCTTATTCGATACCTGCCATACTTTGAACCAGTTTTTTTCCTAGTATCATGGAGCCCTCAGGTCACCTTCCCCAAGGTTCCAGATGCTCAACAGGCCTGGGTGCCATCAACACTAAATTCTTTTTCTTTTAACCTTATAGAGGGCCCCTAACAATCTGTGGGGTGCCTATCTGTCTGTTTTCTCAGCACTCCCTGTATGATGAATTCCCTATATTAAATGTCCTTTTGGGATATGTGAGGTGGATTTGCTTTCTGACTAATATATCTAAGAAGTGTCCTGTGTTTGCTTTCGACTTAGGAACCCTTTGGGCAAACAAATTGAGAAAAGCATGGAGGAGTATTTGTTGAAGCTGGTAATTCATTGAAAATATTCTTTCATTCGTTTGG